ATAATTTTTGAAAAAATTAATTTTATATAAAATAAATACCTGTATAGCGAAAATAAAAATATTAAAGATAACTTAACATCCATATAATTTATTTACATAACATTTAATCTAAAAATACAATAAGTTTTTCTTTTTATACATTAAATAATTAATATCTATATCGGAAATCAATAATAAATCTATGTGCTTTAGAAAAATCCCCAGACAAATACTCACGCCATCTAGTTATATACTATCATTATTAAAAAAAAATCTATGGATTTATACATGTAAGTATATACATGGTATTGGGTATATTATTAAATATTTTTTGAACACATAAATCTAATAATTGAAATTGAATATTTAATTTAATTTAATTATTTTATTCAATTTAATAAATTTATTTAACGTGAAACTTACATTTATAGTTCTTTATTTAATAAAATCTATGTGTAGAAAAATTGTTTGTCGTAAGTATAGATAAGCAAATTTCGGAACAATTACTTGTGACAACCTATGAACGCTCGAAAAGAATCGATTCAGCAGATATTGAAATCGACCGACGGATTCCTAATTGACAGTTCGCATGATACAGTTTCAACTTTAACCACGATTTCAACATTCGCTACTCTTATATGTAAGTATTATAAAGCTATAAAATATAATTTTAAAAAATGAATTTTAAATACATAAATTATTAATATATATATATATATATAATCTTTATTTTTATTTTTTCATCAGTATAATTTAAAATTCATGTATATTAATTTCAAATTAGAAAAATAACATTTCATATATATCAACCTAATACTAATAAAATAATTAAGTATTTACTTAACCTAAAGAAAGAATGAATAATAAATATTTATGTTTATTAAAAAATATCAAAAACCTATTGCTATTCAATCGTGCACATTACATCAGAATTTTGTTCCTGTTTATTATGTAGCATGTGTACCTCTATGTATGAATGTTGAAAGGAAGGTAAGATTTCTAGTGAGAACATTATATGACATACTGAAATATGTAGAAGTTATAACTATTTTATTATTATTATTATTATTTTTTTTTACAATATATCAAGAATATTTAAAATTATTTAAAATATTTAAAATTATGAAAAAGAAAGAGAAAGATTCATTCTTCTTTATGTAGAAATATCGTAATAATATTATTGTCTTTAATCGTAATAATGTTATCATTTATAGACATTATATGACAATATTTATATGATCATGATACAGCACATTTATAAACAGAATATTATAATTATGAAATGGATAATTTCTATTTTTTCTAGAAAATAATAGTTATTTATAAACATGACAATTATTTAAAATTATGGAATAGAGGTAAATCCGGTAACATAAATAAAAGACTTTCCGATTTCGTATATAATTAAATATGTTACAATAATGATCACCATTATTCGAAGAAACTTAAATAAATTTTGTCAATCTGATTTTCCAAGTCGAATGTTAAGTCTTTCAGAAAATTTTAGCATAAAAATTTTTCATTTTCCAATTTATTGTCATATTTTAACTATTATAGTGTGAAAGCAGTTGGTTAAAACGTGATAGGTTGAAATTTTCGTGGTAATGTAGTGGGTTTCGCGAGAAGGATTATCGAAACAAGTGTCCTTACCGGATATTCCTCATTTATATGGATATCTCTATCTATAATTTTGAAACATTATCTCTTCTCTTTCTGGACATAAATATATCGAGAGAAATATATTTTCGAGAATTATGATTTTCCAAAATATATACAATTACAATTTATATTTCATTTTTATTTTAAAGGTTTATAAAATTTATATTTAAGTCTTAATGAAATAGAATAAATAATATTTACATTCCTATATAACATTAAATTTAAATATTAATTTCATAAGTTTTTATTATCCTTGTAGTAAACATATTTCTTTGAGTGCAAAGGGTTATATACATATAATATGAAAAAAAGAAAGAAATTGAAGTATGAAGTATGAAGTTGTCGAACTTTCTCCAAAAGAGTAAGAAAATGAAGTAAGAGAGTAAGAGAAATGGTGAAAGAAGTAATGAATGAAAGAGAGAGAAAAACCGTATCCTAAGCATGCTGTGAGGTGGTGCGAGGTGGTGCAGCATTCTGTCTGTTAGAGGGATAGGAGGCGCGGCGCAGCGTGGCGTGGCGTGCGCGCGCTTCTTACCCCCTGTAGGTTGGTGGCACCCCTACCTCGCGAGGGCCGTTTGTTCGGTTCGGTTCGAGTTTACAACCCTGCTGGGCCGCAAAATTTACGGTGCCCTCTTAAAAGCGATCCAAACACGTACCGGTCCATTTGGACTATCTTCCAGGAGTATGGTCCGCTTTGCCACGCGCTTTGCCTGATCGTCTACGATTTTCTGTTTTTTAAACTCACTCACTTCCTACATCTTTACTTTTCGTGAATCTCGTTCACTTTTTAATTTTTTTGCTTTATTATGAAAAATTTTTATGAAGCAATTTTTATATACATATAGCAATTGTATATTTATGAAATTTCCTATCGCATTTCTTTTGTTTTATTTAGAGAATAATATTTTGATTATATTAATTTTACACAATATAAAAAATATAAAAAAAAATAAAAATATAATGGCTAAATGTAGTTTATAATATTCATAATCATTTATTGAATAAGAAAAAATAAAAATTAATAGATAAATAATAATCGTTATGAAAGATGGAATGTCACATATAAATATGTATTGATTCGCATGATTCGCATAATTCGCATGATGGCGAATATATTAAACTCTTGGATAAAACTCTTAGATAAAATTTATGTAAGAAAATATAAAATATTCGCTATAGAATAACATAATTTGAAAGCTCGAAGGGCTTGTATTATTCAATCAACTGCAATAAGAGACCTCTCATGTGCAAGCTCGTTGTGTGTAATCAAGTTAAAAATTTATATAAAACACTGCCGGATGATAGTGGGTGGAGTGACATAAACTCGGTTACATAAAACAAATGCGGGGACACGCGAAAGGGAAGCCCCTTTGTATCTCTGGAGCCAGTGTGCCATAGAGGAAACCCTTTTGAGGAATCTTTACATATGCATGGACTACCAATGATACCATAGAAAATCATCACTCCCTACATCATCTATTACGGCTTATTATACTTTTCATATGTCATAACATAATAAAATTTATAAGAATATTGAACTCTTCTCTTTCTCTTATAAAGAAAATACTTGTACTACTTATCTTATATTTACATATTATTAATTGTTAATTATATTTAGTAAGAGATAGATATTTTAATCTCAAGTGCAAGTCTCAACTGCTTTTGAAATGCTGTTGCGCAATATTTATTATTACATTTTCCAAAAATTAAAATATGTCAACTGTTTCTGATAAAGAACAATTATTAGTTTTATCTTATTAGTTTTATCTACTTAATTAACGCAATTACATTAAAGGAATTGACACAATTATGTTCGAAAAACTTATCAAAGTCAATTTAACTTTATACCATTTCAAATTAATACCATAACAAATCTATGAAATCAATATTCGATCAATTATTATCGTTTAATTATAAATTAACTATGCATTTATTTTTACTTTTATGAAAAATGATTTCTTCTGTTCTTCTCTTCGAAGAGATTGAACTTTTTCCATATAATATCAATTGGGTTTGAATTTAAAATCATAACCGACTAGCGGTTAACTTAAAGAAAGAGTAAATCTCTATAAAAATAAAAACAAAATACAAAAAAAAAAAAAAAGGCAAGGATGATTTATTACCATTGTGAACGTTTTCGAATTTTTTGAAGTATTTCGAAAAGTTTCCCGCTCGCCTAACTGCGGTAACCGGCGAAACGACTCTTGGCTTACCGCATGTGTCGTAAAAGTTTTTAGGTTCCCAAAAATTTGTGGAAATTCAGGGAAACGGAGATGAAAAAAAGAAAAAGCAATGGCGAGATAAGAGGCACGGTAGCTGTTTTGTAACCTTCTATAAAAGTTATAGGATGGGACTCGAACCGCTGTAACATTTCAAAGATTTTGGCATCACTAATGATTTATGATTCTTTTCTGATCCAACTTTCTGACCCTAGTTTCTCTATTGTTTCTTCAGTTTTTTCTTTAATAATATTTTTATTACAAATATTTTTCTAAATCTATTATTTAATTTGGATATTAAATTTGTCATTTTTCAATTTGACTAATCTTTTGCTTAATCAATCAGCTTTTAATTTAATTACATATAAAAAGACATTGATAGCTAAAATATCATACTTCAAATGTGTAACATATCTGTTGTACAATGAAGATCAAGAAGTCAGTGTAAGGAAATATATATTCGTAAAAACTGAGTGGTAAGAATGTATCTTGTGCATATGTCTTTGAGAATATGATAGCGAACTAAACTGGTTTAAACTCGTTAAAACTCATTGGTCTGAGTCATAAAAGATCAGAGAATCGTCTTGTGTCGTGCTTAAAGTTCAGTGCTTAAAGTTAGTGTTGAGAATCGTAATTTTAAAAAATTGTTAAGAATATTTTATTTATTTATTTTAAAACTTGCATGTGCGTAGCATTAATTTCCAATTATACATAATTCATATGAATATAGTGATGTATATTTACTGGTACAGGGTCAATCTCATTATCTTAATATTTGCCATTTA